TTGGAGTTGGTCTGAGTTTATTTTTAACTTTCAGTTTCTTCTTCTGAAGTGTGGTAACAAACGTATCTATCTTGATGTCTTGGACTGTGAGGAACAAGGAATTGATAAATATAAAGAACATTGCATTCGCTGCTGTTCTACTGATAAAATTTACTACTGGTTAGTAGATGAAATGGAGAGAATGTAGTCCCATCTTGAATCTCATCAGTGAAACACAGGGATTTCTTTCTCCTTTCTAATGTTTCTTTTTCTTTTGTTTTTGTAGCACTAGGGATTGAACCCAAGGGTACTCTACCAGTAAACTACATCCCTGGTCCTTTTTATTTTTCATTTTGATATAACATCTTGCTAGATTGCCCAAGCTGGCCTCAAACTTGAGATCTGCCTGCCTCAAGCTCCAAAATAACTGGGATTACAAATGTGGGCCACTGCACCCAGCTTCTCTTTATGTTTTAACAGTCAGACACATGAATAAATGCTATTCCCCCCAGTACCAAAAAAAAAAAAAAAGAAAGAAAGAAAGAAAATCCTTCCAGGCGTGGTGGTGCACACCTGTAATTCCAGCAACTCAGGAGGCTGAGGCAGGAGGATCACTAGTTTGAGGCCAGCCTCAGCAATTTAGCGAGACCCTTTCTATCTCAAAGACAAAGAATATAAAAAGAGTTGTGGGAAAAACTCAGTGGTAGAGAACCCTTGAGTTTGATTACCTGTAATATATACACATGAGTGCAAAAATATAAACCAATACATGATTACTCAAAGTAGTTAATTTGTTGCACTAAAAAAGGTATTTAATGTTTAATGTTACCCACTCCTTTGTAATACTATCTAAAAGGGAATGAAGAAAAAAACTTTCAAAAGGGGCAAAGAATACAAGCTAACATTGTCCTCTATTTTCCAAAACTTCAAAAAAATTTCTCAAACCAAACCCACAGAAAATACTATAACGGAAAACAGAGCAAATCAGCTGACCCGAGTAAAGTCAGGGGAAACAATCTGGTTTTGAAATGTATTGAAAAGCTTAGAATAGAATTTGGTTTTGTTGATTTCAAGAGAGATTTGAAGTGGGGCACAGTGGTGCATGCCTATAACCCCAGCAACTCAAGAGGCTGAGGGAGGAGGATCGCTGAGGCCTTTATGAGACCCTGTCTCAAAAAATAAAAAGGTCTGGGGGTGTAGTTCAGTTGGTAGAGTGTCACTGGGTTCAATCCCAGTTCAGGTGGATGGGGACAGGAGGAGGATTGATTCAAAAATAAAAACAAAAATACTTCATTTGACAGAAATATTTACTAGATACATAATAAATTCAAATCCGTATGCAAAATAACTCTCTGGGAAGCCTTAGAAAATATTTTGAAGGCTCAGAAAGACCTGTAGGGACCTTGTAATGCACCTGAAATTCCCATGAGTGATTCAGTTAGCAGCACACTTATTTACATGGATCCAAGCAGAAGCCAAACTTGAGAATCCTCTCATGCCTGGGAGGCAGTGACTCCTTCAGGATTTATATTCACCTGCTTCCTGAAAAATGCTTGAAGTGCTAACTATTATGTGTATAAAATTAAAATAGAGAATGTGAACCTCAAGGGAGGAAGAAGCAAGTGGTCTAATCAACCCAAGCAGAAGTTTTATCCAATGAAGTCGTTTGTAGAGCTCATAAATTTAAAACAGTTAATTTAAGCAGGCTGGGAAGGGAGCAGAGTTCCCCTCACTTGCCCACTTCCTTTAGGTCCCAGAGCATTTTCTTGTGTTTTTCTCCTCCCACACCAGAGCAGTTTGAAACTAATGGTTTTGGGTTATTATGCCTACAGTGACTGAGCATTAGCACTGAGCTTCCTGCAAATCCAGATACAAAGGGAAACACTATGGATTACATTTCTTTAGATACAAGGTTTTCTCAGATGTTAGTTATATTTTCAAGTAATAATGCTCAATATATTTTCAGGTAAAGTACCTCAAATTTAGGGGCTGAGGTTGTAACTCAGCGGTAGATTGCTCGCCTCTCATGTGTGAGACCCTGGGTTCGATCCTCAGCACCACATAAAAATTAAAAAAAAAAAAATGTACCTCAAATTTAAAGAAATGAGCCAATTGTTTACCTGAAAAAAAAAGGACAATTTACTATTTCCCTTCTTCCAGACATTATAGAACCCTTTGGTAGTTGAACTGCCTAAATACAATGGCCACTAGCCACGTGTGGGATTTAAAGTCATTACTGATGGTGAACAAATGCTCCAACATAGGGTATGTATGTATTGTTTTTTTGTGTGTGTGGTGGGGGGTTTACCAGGGATTGAACTCAGGGGCACACAATCACTGAGCCACATCCCTAGCCCTTTCTTAAGGATTCTATTTAGAGACAGGATGTCACTGAGTTGCTTAGAACCTCGCCGTTGCTGAGGCCGGATTTGAGCTTGAAATCCTCCTGCCTCAGCCTCCTGAGCCACTGGGATTACAGGCTTGTGCCAGTGTGCCCAGCTTTTATATGTATTTTTGCACATTTATAGTTTGGATTATTATACTTAAAGGAACTTTATCTGAAAAAGTGAAAATTGAAACCAACCATAATGAATGTGAAACCAACTTCATCCTGCATTTCCCAACTTTCTGAATACCCTTGCACAATTAACCTTTTTTTTCTTTTTTTTTGGTTTGGGGATTGAGTCCTAGACCTCACCCATCCCAATTAAACATGGGTTCTAGCTCTGAGCTACACCCCAACCCTACCACTTTATACAACCATGTTTTCTTTTGAGCACTTTTAATACTCTTATTTCTTCACAGATAGTTACTTCAAATCCTATATCTAGTAATCTCTATCTGCCATCTTTGTAGAGCTCATTCTCCGGTGTTTCTGCTAATTCTCATGAGGCCATCTCCTTTGGTAGGGTAGATTTGTTTCTCAGCTCAATCCCTGAAGATCCACTCTGTGAGTCTCCTGTATCAGCCTCAAATCTATTTTCCAGTTAAGAGGGGAAAAGAGAAAGGCTAGTAATTCTACTAGGAAAGCAAAACTGTTCTTATAAATTCCAAGGAGACGTCAACTTACATTTCCCCGATCAGAATTGGGTTATACAACCCTGACTATAAGTCGTTAAGCCTTCTTTAGTTGAAGGTGAGAGTTCTGGAGACAATTTATTACAGATTTAACCCAGTGATGCTCTACCCCTGAGCTACATTGCTACCTTTTTTGGGGGGCGGGGGGTTAGAATTTTATGTACAAAGCACTAGTGTCTTCTCTTTCATTGAGTGGCTATCTTAGGCAATCCATTTGAGGAAGATCACTTAGTCCAACTTAATGAAGTTAGTATTCCTTTGCTCAGCCTCTCCTGACAACTCACAAGCTGGTCATATCGCTGGCAGTACTTCAGGATCAGATTTGCTAGACTGAGCAGACACGTCGAGAACACACGCCCAATTTTTGCAGGTGGCCTCAACAGAGCAGTTTAACCCTCCTTGCTTTCAAGGATGCAATGAAGTGAAATGAAGAGCCCCCAGCCCTTTTTATTTTGAAACAGGATCTTGCTAAGTTGTCAAGGCTGGCTTTGAACTTGCCATCCCTGTGTCTCAGCCTAAGTCTCTGGAATTACAGGTATTCACCGCTGTGCCCAGCTGAGAGTTCTGGAGAAGAGTATTAAAAAAGCATTTCCATGCAATAGAGGTAGGCAAAAAAATTCCGTTTACTGTATGCGGGGTTGGTGGCACAAGTCATGAAGGTTACAGAACTCTATTTTGGAGCAATTATTCAAGGGAATCAGACCTACTTATACCTCTCTGGCTCTTCTTACATCAAAATATAACGGAAACCCTCACTGTCAGAAAGTGGACTTTTGAAAGAACAGATGCCTTGTGAATACTCTCCAAATAAACTCAAGGCACTGTGCTATAGGCATTAAAAACAAGAGCTCTCAAAGGCAAGCCCCTTGATTGTAGAAATACTGCTTGCCAGGTTTTCTATAGCCACCTGGTTATTCATGACCTTTAACACCTCTTAAAGTAACCATCAGTCAACAAATCAGAAACTTATCCAAGCTGACAAAGGGAAAGAATAACATCACTTAGTCAAGATTTATTTCAACACCTGAAAATACCCACAATACTCAAAATTCAACTACTGTAATTTCTTGTAATTCATAAATGCTTAATATAAAACCTTTAAAAATGTAGACAATTAACTAACCCCTAAATACTATGATTTTCAAAAGCATTGGCATTTAACAAAATATAAGATGACAATAAAACATCAAAAAACTTCCACAAAGGAGACCATACTAGCATCAAACTGTTCAGACTAAACAATCTGTCTTTATACTTTCCATGTTTGTTTTTAACTGTTTCATAAAGCCAGTGATAATTGAGTCCTTTTTTAAGTATGGGATTTCTGACATTCAGGATGGAGCTCAATCACAGAGCACTTGCCTAGCATGCACAAGGCCCTGGGTTCAATTCCCAGCATATATACACACACACACACATATAATTTTTGTAAAAAAATTAAAAAGACACAAATAGCATTGTAATAAATTGAAACATAATCTGACTGGATTTACCTATGTATTCTTTGCTACAATAGCTTTAGATGTTTTTCTATGGACTTTATGTTTATTACCATCAGTAAGTATCATTTATTCATGTAGATGAGAAAAAATGATGTACCATGAGTTTTCTTTAAAATTACCTTCTACTTTCTTCAAACTTTACCCTCCCACACCACACCACCACCAATCTATTGTTAAATTGAACTATAATGCAGTATACTATCTGAGGATATTGAGGAGGCCACAAATAACCTGTAATTTTAATTTTGTGTGTGTGCATTTGATATTGGAGGTCAAACCAGAGCATCATGTATGCTGGATAAGCACTCCACCACTAAGTTACACACCTATGCCTGTAATGTGTACAAAATATCCAAAGATTTCCATTTTCTACCGATATAAACAAAAGGACTCAAGTGACCAAAAGTTATAGTGGGTAGGAGAAAAAAGACAAAGTATGAATATTATTTAATAAAAATTTTATTTACACCATTCCCTCAACGTAGCTTTTTAGGTTAACATTAAAGCATATTGTGCGTACACAGCTAAGACAGTTTAGATTTGCTCTGGAACATATAATCACATTTAAAATTAATAACCTTCTAAGTATTTCATAGTTTAATTGGCTCTTTGTTTCCCTGGGAGAAAAATAAAAATTTTGTGTTAAGAAATTGGTAAATACAAAGGGACGGCTACATATTCACTTATATCCTGAAGATGCCTAAAGATGGAGTCTGTTGTTTTTTCTAAAGATGCAATACAGATATGCACCTAATCATCCTGATTAGTGATGAAATGGAATGGTACAGACCAATGCGATCTCTTATGGACAGAATTTTAGGATAGATATTCTGAATGGAAAAAAAAAAAACTGATGCTGGAAATTGTTTAAAGAGAAAACCAATGTCAAGAAAAATGTTGAAAAACAAAATTATATACTCTTGAAAGACCAACACAAAAACCAGATTGTATAGAACGAAAGACATTCATTTTACTGTCTAGAGAAACTCAAAAGCAGAGGGAATCTAGGCCACTTAAACTTGAGGCAGCACTACACAAGAAATGGAGACAGAATAAATTGACCTCAGAAGAGAAATGAGAAAAACAAAATTTCACAAGTGTTCAGCTCTGTAATATATAGGGATGCACAAAATATCAAAGTTACAGTCTGTATTTTCTTCCCATTCATAGTAAATTATCAAACTTCTGTTTAATGCATTACTTTAATAAGCCTTCTATTTAGTAACATATGCTATATACATGGTTATATTTTACCATGAGAATTACAGTTCTCCTCCCAAATTAGTGACTTGCTTAACCCAGGCTTATATACATTTTATTTCCATTACAAGACACTTAATATCTTTCTAGTGATTCAGAAAATATTACAACATATTACATAAAAAACAATATTTATTTTTAAATGATTCTTTTTAGTATGATAGCATGATGGTTTGAACAGCCGAAGCATAATGGGGTAACTACCTAATATTGTTTAAACTAATTTACAGCTATAGGAAAATGTTTGATTTTTAAAATATAAGCAAGACTGCACAATTATAAACAGTGAAATGAATAAATAATTTTTCATCAGTGGCCATTCATTATTTTGCTTTTAGAAACCTGGAAGAAATTGTCATCTTTGAGTTTCAAATGTTCTGGTAAATCTAGTCGCTTCTTAGCTTCTTCAATATCACCTTGAATTGCTGAAATAAGTGACTCTGTAGAGAGAATGCAAATAAATATAGTGAGAAACTGCTAATAGACTTTACTATTTCTTTGCTCAGCCTCTCCTGACAACTCACAAGCTGGTCATATCTCTGACACAGGATAGAATCTAATAAATGTTTTTTCCCTTCCCTAGACTTAAGTAATACTGCAATTTTTTAAGAGAAAGGTACAGTCACAAATATACACTGCAAATTCCAAACACAAGAAACAAATATTCATGATCTGTTCTCTTTGACATTTACACCTGTAAAACAAACTTTACAACAGGGTTAAAACTACCACATTCTATTAATAAGACACCTCATAACACCTGAAACAAATGTTCATTGCTTCACTGTTTCTTATACTTATCAAAGATTTCATTAACCTCATACTATTAGAGAAGCAGTCAGTCTGCTGGCTTTTAATCTAGGCTCCATCACTAACTATGTAACTGAGTTACATCTCAGCCCCCTTTTTAGTTTTTGAGATAGGGTCTCACTAAGTTGCTGGGGCTAGCCGTGAATTTGTAATTCTCCTGCCTCAGCATCCTGAGACACTACAGTTACAGGAGGGCACTGCCATGCCTCATGATTCATGGGTTATCAAGGGGCTGTTACAAAAGTGATCTCTCTCTAGCACTGTTGTTGTCTTACTATGTGATGCCCTTCCACTGGTGCAGCAAGAAGGCACTCACCACATGCTGACCAGATGCCTGCATAATGCTCTGGGACTTCCCATTTCTAGAGCTAAATAAACATCTACTCTTTATAAATTACCAAGTTTGATACTCTTCTACAGTAACAGAAAACAGACTAGGACAGTGACTATATATGCAAACTGCCAATTTCCCCAACTATCACATGGGCAAAATAATTCTTCATAGGGTTATCTTAGGGGATAAAGAAAGTAACTCATGTAAGACACTTTAACAGTGCGGGGCAATTAATAAACTCTCAATAATATACATACTGCCACCAATGCTACTAGTAGTACCTATAGCAGCAGTAGTAATATTTAAGGAGATCAAGACAAGAACTTACCTAAAGAATCAAAGTTCTTTTCTGGTCTGAGGTAGCCAACAATGGCAACATTGAGGATTTCCCCATAGAAGTCCTCTTCAAAGGTATGGATGATGTGAGTTTCCTATAGTCAAAAATGTTGAAAAGATTTCAGATTACAGACTTCTTGAAATCTGAAATTTACCTTTTTATTTACAGTGAGTTAATTTAAAAGAAGCAATCAGTCCTCATTAAAATTTAAAGACATTTTTTCCATCACTCATGTTACTGTCCCAAACTTACGCATAAACTTAAGTGAGGTAGCAGATATGTTCTATCACATACTGGTAAAATCTGATGCTTAAAATGGTGAAGGAAAGCAATGGAAAGCTGACTGACACATAAATTTTTGGTATGAATGAGGAATTTTTCAAAAAGCTTATTATTCATCTATCATATTTTAATCATTAAATTGAAGTTTCTTTATATTAAAGCTGAGGGAAGAGGATTGAAAATTTGAAGCCAGCCTCAACAACTCAGGAAGACCCTGTACCAAAATTTTAAAAGGGCTGGGGAGACTGGGAGGGAGAAAGGGATGGAAGGAAAGAAGGAAGGGAGGGAGGGAGGGAGGGAAAAGAAAAGAACCGGGGGTGTAGGTCAGTGGTAGAACACCCCTGCGTTTAAAACCCAATATAGCAATAATAAAGAAAGTAGAGGAAGGGGGCTGGGGATGTGGCTTAAGCGGTAGCGCGCTCGCCTGACATGCGTGTGGCCTGGGTTCGATCCTCAGCACCACATACAAAGATGTTGTGTCTGCCGAGAACTAAAAAAAAAATAAATAAAATATTAAAAATTCTCTCTCTCTCTCTCCTCTCTCACTCTCTCCCTTTAAAAAAAAAGAAAGTAGAGGAAGAAGAGGAAGGAGAGGAAAGAGGGAGTAGAAGAGGAGGGAGAAGGGAAGAAAAAAAAAACAGCTGAGGCTGGACTAGGATGGGAGCATTAGAAATTGCAATATATAAGTGAAAACTAGCTAGAAACATCCACCTTGAAGCATATGACCCTAGAATCTAATCTATGGAGTGATCGTTTAAACTAAAATATCACAAATCGAAAACTACACTTACCTCATTCTGAGTAATAAAAACAATAAAAAGAGTACATTTTAAATGATTCAGACCAAACAACAATAACAAAAAAAATCATTGAACCTTTTAGATTAAGGAAAATTTTATTTCCTCTCAAAAAATAAAACATATTTTTCATAATCTTTTAATTTTCTTGGGAGGAGATGGTCATGATCCTTTGAGATCATTAAAATGGGAATAATAAAGATGCAGGGATGGTTGTACTATTCTTCCCTATTCTCTCTAATTACAGGGAAGTCACTTTGTATATTTTCTCTTTTATAAGCATATTCCAAAAAGACTCCTTAAATTGGGTGTGGTAGCACACACCTATGTAATCCCAGTGACTTGGGAGGCTGAGGCAAGAGGACTACAAGTTCAAGGCCAGCCTAAGCAACTTAGTGAGACCCTATCCCGAAATAAAATTAAGATGGGTGCAGTGGCACACACCAGTAATCCCAGAGGCTCAGGAGGCTGAGACAGGAGGATTGCAAGTTCAAAGTCGGCCTCAGTAACTTAGCAAGGCTCTAAGCAAGACCTATGAGACCCTGTCTCTAAATAAAATACAAAATTGGGCTGGAATGGTGGTTCAGTGGTTAAGTATTCCTTGGTTCAATACCCAGCACCAAAAAAAGAAAGGGGGAAAAAAAGCTTAATGATAAGAGCAAAATAAATAAATTAATTTCATAATTCACTCTCTGTTCCATATCTTCTGTATAACTGTCCTTTATATATGGGGACAAAATGCTAACTGAAAGATTTAGGGTACTTGCAGGATGGAATGGATTAGAACATTAATCTTCCATAAATGGATCTACTCTAAAATGATCTACAGATTCAATTCTATCTCAATAAAAATTATAGTGGGGTTTTTTGAATGGTAGAAACTGACAATCTATTCTAAAACTTGAATAGAAACGCCAAAATTATTTTAAAAAATCCTGAAAACAAGACTGAAGAACTCATACAACAGATATCAAGACCTATTATAATGCTATGTAAATTAAGCCTCAGTGTTAATGGTTCAAAGATAAACAAGCAGATCAGTATGTATGAATTTTTTTTTTAAGACTCTCACATAAAACCATTTTATATATCACAAGGAGACACTGTAGTATTATCAGAAAAGGATGGCATTTTCAATAGATAGGCTGGGTCAATTTCATATTCATTTAAGGAAAAAAATAATAATTTTGACCCCTACTGTACAGCATACTCAAAAATCAATTTAATGAAACAAGTAAGTCACTTAAGCTTTTAGAAGAAAACAAACTTTCTTCATGATTTTGGTGTAGGCAAAGATTTCTTAAGTGGATATTTAAAAGCGCTAACCAACCATAAATGAAAAATGATTAAATGATTATATTAAGAACTTTTGTTCTTGAAGACACCAGTGAGTTTATTTTTAAAAAATAATAATAAAAAAGCAACACAGAAGAAACTTGTAACACATAATTCCAATAAAGGAATTGGATCTGGAATATACCAAGAACTTCTTTATGACAAAAGTTTACACATCTTTTTTTTTAAATAAGGGCAAAGGACTTGAGTAGGAACTTGAGTAGGTATCTGTTACCATCAAAGAAACACACACACACTCCCTGAATTGTAGGAACATCTTATTACTGAAAACTGAGTTTCTCCTAATTATTAAAGGATTTCCAAGGCATTCCTTAAGTAGTTCAATAGTAATAGTTCCATTACCTGTGTAATTCATCATGGGATAGGTTCCCCTGCCTTTCTTTTCCTTCCTTATTCAGTGGAAAACTGTTGTTTTCATTTAGCAATTCTTTACCTTATCTCTTCCAACAAATAATTTGCACTATTCCACTGAGTAAATTCTACTAAGTTCTGGGTTATTATTATTGCTTGTACCAACAGTGGTTTTTCAACTGTGACACACTTCTTTTTTAGTAACTCTTCAAAGTTAAAAATTGCCAGACATGGTGGCACACGCCTGTAATCACAGTGACTCAGAGACTGAGACAGGAGTATCTCAAGTTCAAGGCCAGCCTCAGTAACTTAACAAAGCTCTAAGCAGCTTAGTAAAACCCTGCCTCACAGGAAGATTGCAAGTTCAAAACCAGCCTCAGCAAAATCAAGGCACTAAACAACTCAGTGAGACCCTGTCCCTAAATAAAATACAAAACAGGGCTGGGGATGTGGCTTAGTGGTTGAGTGCCCCTGAGTTCAATTATCACTACCCTCCACCAAATAAAAAGAAAACCCTGCCTCAAAATAAAAAACAAAAGGCTAAGGATATAGCTAAGTGGTAAAGCATTTTTGGATTCAATCCCCAGGTACCAAAAAAAAAAAAAAAGGAACAATTACAATTTAGATCTCTATAAATCTGTTTTTGCCACATACTTGAGCTGACAAAAGATTCAGCCAAGTGGGGTACAGTGGCACATGCCTATAATCCTAACTACTCACGAGGCAGGCTCACAAATTTGAGGCCACCTCTTGCAATTGAGCAAGACCCTGTCTCAAAATAAAGAAAATAAAGGGCTGGGATTGTGGCTCAGGGGTAGAGCACTCGCCTAGCCCCACAGGCGGGACCCAGGTTCGATCCTCAGCACCACATAAAAATAAAATGCATTGTGTTGTGTCTATCTACACCAAAAAATAAAAAATAAAGAAAATAAAAAGGGGATGTAGCCCTTTACTTTCCAGCATATACAAAAAAGAAAGATTCAACAAAATCTAACAAATAAAAACATATAAACTGTGTTGGTCCTATTTAAAGGCCCTGGGTTTCATACTTAGCAACACAATAAGAGAAAGAAAGCATCAATTTGCATCATCCCTGTAGTAAGCATTTCTATATTAACAGGGTAATCAAGTAATTACACTTTGAACTACATAAACTATGGCAAGCTCAATTTTATGAAACATGCTTTTAAATAACTCACTTATCTACTGTAAATGTACTTACACGAGCATTTAAAAGGTAGCATTATAATGTTTTTTAACACCACTTTCTGTATGATTTAATAAATAAATGCATAAAAAATTAATCTGTTACTTGGTACCCAGTGTATAAAAAGATGTAATTTGTGGGTTCTGTACACTACTAAACTTGGTATGAACTCAAAGTAGACTTCTCAAATTTCAGAATGCTAAATGTAATTCCCATGGTAATTACAAAGGAAATATCTATAGAAAATACTCAAAAGGAAATGAAAAGAGAGTCACTATAAAAAGTCAAATGCTTAGTCAACTAAATAACAAAGGAAATGAACAAAAAATTTACAAGTCATATAGAAAACAAAAAGCAAAATTGTCTTCATTTAATTTTATTAGTTAAATGAAAATGGATTAAGGTCTCTAATTGGCAGAAATTGGCAAAATGGATTGAAAACATGATCCCACCATTTACTACCTATAAGAGACTCACTTTAAATCCAAAGGCACAGATTGAAAGTAAAAGGATGGAAAAAGATATTCTATTCAAATAGTAACTAGTTGGGCATAGTGATGAAAGTCAGCCTCTGGAAGAAAAGACAGGAGGATAGCAAGTTGAAGGCCAACATCAGCAACTTAACAAGACCCTGTCTCAGAAAATATGAGGACTGGGGATATATCTCAGTGGTAGAGCACCACTGGGTTCAATACCCAGTACTGCAAACAAACAAACAACAAAACCCAAACAAACAAAACAGCCAATACTCTGCTTTTAAATTCTTCAAGCATGCTGCCTCAAACTCTATTATTTGTATCAAGTTATGTTTACCACTGGTAAGTTCTGTGTGCATCTAAAACCACATATCACTCTAAATCATAATCCCATTTCAGTAACAGGAAAATAAGATTCTTACCATAGACTTTTTCATATTCTTGTAGTATGGGTTCCATCCTATGCTTACCACCATCTTATGAACATCTCCACTTCCAACACTGGCCCAACCATAATAAATGCCAGTGGATACGTCAGCTGGAAGATTATCTACTATTTGTTCAGGAAAATTGGCTAAACAACAAAAGTAAATATTCTTAGTGTTACAAGTTTCACATAAAACATTTGTAAAAATCACATGCAGCACTATTCTAAATCACTGCGCTCAGTAGATTGCCAGGGCTCCGACTATCTATCTCATCCTCCCATATTCTGAGTTGGAGTTCTTTCTCTTCAGGTGAACAGGTATGGAATAAGATATAAGGCAAGTATATAAACTTCTCAAAAAAAAAAAAAAAAAAGCAAAACCAAAAAACCAGTCTCTGGATGGAAAAAAAAAAAAAAAGAAAGATATAACCAGATGGAATGAGGCCACGCAGTTACCCAGTTACTGGCACATGTAGGCCCAACTACTCAAGGGGCTGAGGCAGGAAGATAGATTCCTTGAACCCAGAAGTTCAGGTCCAGCCTTGAACAACAAAGAGAGGTTCCTCTATCTTAATATTCAAAAAACCGGTGGCTTTTTTTTTTTTTTAAAAAAGATTTGTTCTTTCCAAGTAGGGTTTGAATCACTTCAAAAGATTCTTATTTTAAATACCCAGCCTAAAGAGAATGATTGAACAGTTCAAAGGGCAACCCTGCTGTGTAGTTTTCGACACCCAGTAGTACTGCATAGTTTTCAGGAGTAGCTGCAATTTTTGGCGCGGGGGTGGGTTTAAACTGGGGATTGAACTCGGCGGTGCATTACCACTGAGTCACATGGCCCCTGCTGTGTATTTTTAAGGATGAATTAAAGGATCAAGTCTTGATTACTAAAACTCCTGAAGACAGACCAAACCCAAAAGTTGGTCTTCTCCAACTACCTGTGTTATCACTGGGACACTAACAGATTCCAAGAAAAGAACTTTAAGGTCGGCTTGAGAATTCGGCCACATTAGGTTTTAATGGGCAAGGTAACCGCCATGCTTGGCTAACCATCCTGGCTGGACCGGGAAAGGGGGATCCTGTGATTCCGCTAAGCTTCCTGTCACCACCGGGTCGCCAGGGAGATCAGAGCCAGGGGCAGGGAGGAGCTCCCACAGAGAAAGATCCTCGGCCCCAACAGAGGGAACGATGCTGACAGGAGGTCACCTCCGCCTGCGGCACGGTGGCCCCACAACCGGGTCGCAAGTCCCCGGGCTGACGTCCTCGCCCCCTACGTGACCCGGTCCCGGGGCTCCGCGCCGCCGCGGGCTTACCTGTGGGGATGCCCAGCTGCTTGGAGCCGCGGCCGAAGCCCCGCACTACTTGGCCCCGGCAGAAGTACGGCAGGCTTCTCATGACGCCGTCCGCCGGGGACGCGGGCTGCAGGCCAGTCCGCGCGTCAGGCGGAGTCGCCGTGGGTACAATGCCTGGAGCCCCGGACCAGCCGGGGCAAGCGCTCTACCCGCTAGGTGCGCACACCAAACACAGGGAGGCACCGACGACACGCGGCGGCAGGTCTCTCACACCACTGCCCAACAGAAGTTGCTGCACAACTCAGGAAGCGCGTCTTCGCTACGGGAGCTGCGGCAACAGCAGAAGGTCGGCTGTGGCCAAGAGCGCACTGGAGACTGCCGGATCGCGAGAGGTCTCTGGCTGCCTTCCCACAGCCGGCGTACGGACACTTCCGCGGCGGAACAACCGGTGCCTGCTCGGCTTCCGTAGTCCTTTTCCGCTGTAGCCCCGCCTCTCCCGCTGTGGCTCCGCCCCCAGCCGGGGTCCGGCCGACCTCGGTCCTCCTGGGTCTTCTACCAGCCACTGAATGCGAAAACGGATTCGGGGTCCTTTCCTTCAGCCCTAGGGGCTAGGAAGCACCGTTCCCCAACAGCCGTCGGTGTCTCCTTCCCCTTCCTTCTTTTCCTTAGAATTCTGACGTCAAAGCGAGATCTTCTTTAGCTCCTTGGCAACCGCTGGGCTGATCGTTGGTCGTCATTCCATTTGCTCTTTAAACATATTAAAGCTCCCCAATTTCAGCTCAGAGATTACCCCACCTGAAGCGGCTCTCCTCCCCCGAGACTACTGACCTAAGTCTGGATGTAAGATCCAGGGAAGTAGGTCCTTGTCCGAGCTGTCGCCCCAGAGGCAACTGGAATATAACCACAACCCAATTTTGGTTTTCTGATTAGAGATGCGCTGCCTGCCCACCCACTTCCCCTCTAGGGTGTCTCCTTGAGAACTTAATAAGCTTGAAAAAGGCTTGATTGGCTTTTTGACCTTTGGCACTGTAAGCTGGGGCGGGGGGAGTAGAAAAAGGCTCACTCAGGAGACACACGTGATGCAAGGCTGTAACAGTTCATCCTCTCAAGAAATTTTAATCTTCTATTTTTCTTTATTAATTTATAAGAAATTCTTCCCAGATTTTATAGCCACTTTCTTTCTATCTTGCATATTTATAATGTTAAATAATTCTTACCTGTTATTTTCTCTTTTTGTCTCTGTGTCTTTTTGGTCCTGGGGATTGAACCCAGGTGCACTTTACCACTAAGTTACATCCCCAGTCGTTTTTATTTTTTATTTTGAGATGCAGGTCTCACCAAATTGCTGAGTCTGACCTTGAACTTGAGATCCTCCCCCATCGCTGAGATTACAATTTTAAGCCCCATTTAAAATTACTTTCTGTTTATATAGGTATGAAGAGGGATTTCTTACCAAAATGTTTTATATCCCTAACTTTGGCATAGTACCTGATCTGAAGTAAACACTCCATAAATATTTGTAGAAAGAACAAAGGGTCCAGGGTGTGCCAAGCACAGCATAAGGTGCTAGGGGAAAGGTGAGTAAGTCAAAGTCCAGGTCTTCAGAGGCCTAGCCTAGTGGGGAGAATGCCTGGTAAGACTGATTACAGCACCAACACTGTACTCCAACAGAATCGGTACAAAATACTTGGAAGACTGCAAAGAGTAGAACTCACAGAAAAGGTGTTTAGTATAGACAGTAGTTAAGGTGCTAAAGCTAGGTAAACTAGGGTTGAATACAGGCCTTGGTTGACTAGCTGATAACCTTGAGTGAAATACTCAACCTGAATCTCAGTGCCCTTATCAATAAGTTGTGGATATTAACAGTATTTGGGAAAAAAATGAGATGATGTATGAAAACCTCTTAAAAAATATATATACACCAGTGACACACATCCTCTAGCCTCAACCCACCTACCTATAGTCACAACCCAGTTAATCCACACAAGTGGATTAATGCACCAATTAGGTTAAAGCTCTCATAACCCAATCATTTCACCTCTGATCTTTCTTGCATTGTCTTACACATGAGCTTTTGGGGGACATCTCACAAACCATAACAAAATCATCTTTTAAGCCCCCCTACCAATTCAGGGTCTAAGGAACGGAATTTCACTGCCTCTTTGGATCTTCATTTCTCTACAAAGTCTCCTGGATTATGTAAAATTTACATTAAAATACATTTGTATGCTTTTCTCCAATTAATCTCTTGTGTCAGTTTTTTTTTTTTAAAGTGGTACTGAGAGCAAACAAATGCTACACACTCTACCACTGTGTTACATTCCTAGCCCTGTCTTAGGTCAGTTTAATTCTTAGGCCCTGCACAAAAGAAACCCTAAATAGGAGGTAAAACTCTGCTGTGCCTCCCCTACAGTGATGATTATAACAAAGACAACAACAATCATAAGTTATCAAGAGTTATCACTTAACATCCAGGCAATTTGTTAAGTGTTTTTCATACACTATCTCATTTATTTTATACACACACACACACACACACACACACACACACAGATATATTTACATTTGTTTATGTGTGTGAACTGATTGCCTCAATAGTCTCTACTATATTCAAACTTGGTTCATGTCACTGAATGCACTGTCCAGGAAGTATATTTTATAAACGATGTTGTAAAAGCTAAATTCAGAAAATATATTTTAATGAAATTTGGATTAAACAGTTTTGGAAGCCAGTGAAGTACACAGACTGAAAATGACTAACCAGACCTGATACTATTATTTTGAAGAAAAGAGGACTGTGATTGACTTGCTAGACCCAAAAGGACATAAGTAATCTATAAGATGGTGAGGAGCCATCTAGCTGTTTGATGGTGGGCTTCTAATCATCCTTTCTGGGAGATCCAAGGTCTCCTATATGCAGCTGTTTCATACTAACCCATTATGAAATATTTACTTAGCTGATAACTTAGTAAATACACCTCACCTGGAAGGTTGACAATGATACAAATAGATTTTATACCTCTTTAGAATACAAACCAAATTTTATCACCTAACCATATGAGATGTTAATAATAACCTGGAAGATCAGATCCTGACATTAGGCCAGGCCTGGAAGCCAATATCTGGTCTGAAAAGTCAGAATTTTTGTTGATGTTGGTTTGAATTTTTTACTTGGCTTACAGACTGTGTGAGGAGTTGGGCTAATATGGCTTGGTCAAGCCCTCTTTCACCTAAAAAGGATGTGTCTAACTTTCTTTGCCAAATATAATGAAATTCCTTTACCAGTGCTCTCGGGCGAGGAAGAGCCATCTACTTTAGGAGCATTTGGCGTAGCAATGGGAATTGTGAAATGATTTCCAGAGAATTATATCCAGTGATATCTTGTTTGGATAGAAAGTGAGTGTTGGTTTTGGTGTTGGTTTTGTTGTTGTTTTAGTTTTTTGGGGTTTTTAGTGGAAAAGTGAATCTTACGAAACCAACCTAAGTCCCTGTGATTTTTCTGGTTCACATTCCCTGTGTAGGAGAGAAGGCGTCGAAAGATGAGGTGTCTTCATGCTTCCTAATAGTCAGATTTCCACCAACAAATGCTTCCACACGTGACCCCATAGGAATCTCTTTAATTCCACCACAGATCAAGCTGTGGCTGATTCTAACACCTTAAGGTGTTTGCTCATGGTCTCTCTGGGCTTGCGGCTTCTTTCTGGCGCTCTTTCTACTGTCTTCTGGCTTTCTTAGTCCAAACAGGACAAGAATTTTGAAAAAGCCCCTTGGACTTCTTCACACTCCACCAGATTGAGCAACACCTTCAATTCAGGGAGACAGAAGGAAGTCAGCGATTGCCACCTGCAAGCACTCTGAACGTCATCTTTTAGGGGTGTTTGTCGAGGTTTCATTGACGTGAAACGTGATTGGTTAAATCATTCACCTCTGATCATTGAACTTCAGCTCCAGCTCCTCTGAAAAGTCAGAATTGAAAAAAAAAAATCATCTATTCATTGAGCTGCTTCAGTACGGTACACTCTAAATCAAGGGTGGCATGATTAATTACCAATGCTGTTTTTAATCTATACTCTAAAATATTTGAGTACCCATTGTTCTCTCTGATTTTTTGTGGGTTTGTTTTTGTTGTTTTGTTTACTTGTTAATAGGAAACAAAAACAAAAATACAGTGTTAGATTTTCACCACCACCACCCAAAAAACCAACCAGTGTACACGAATTCCATTCCTTATTTATCCACCAGGTGGCATGCAATTTCTTTCTTTCTTTCTTTCTTTCTTTCTTTCTTTCTTTCTTTCTTTCTTTCTTTCTTTCTTTCTTTCTTTCTTTCTTTCTTTCTCTCT